TGTCGTCGCGTTGTCGTCGTCGCGTTGTCGTCGTCGTTTTGTCATCGTCGCGTTGTCGTCGTCGCGTGTCGTCGTTTGGACGTGGACGTCGTCGTTGTCACGTCGTTGTCGTTGTCGTGGTCATTGGTGGGGTGCTGCTCGCCGTTTGTTGATCGTGGTGGTGGTGGGCACTCCTGGGTGGCAGTGGGCGCTGGTCGGCGTTGTTTGAGGGTGCTGGTGGGTGCGTGGTGTGTTGTTCGTGGCTGGCTGGTGTGGTGGTCGTGGTTGGAGCCATCGTTGGTGCCGTGGGGCCTCGTTTGGTTGGTGACGTGGCATCGCGGCGTTCGCGTGGTGGGCGCTCGTGGATAGTGGTGGGCGCTGGTCGCCGTTGGTTGATGGAGGTGCTCGTGGATGGTGCTGGCGCCACGTCGTTGTCGTTGTCGTTGTCCGTTTCGTTGCCACGTCGCTGGCCGTGGTCGTCGCCGTTTGTTGCTGGGGTGGTCGTGGCCGTTGTTGGTCGTGTGGCGTTGTCGTCGTTGTCGCTGTTGTCAATGTGGTTGGTGGTGGGTGGAAAGGAAAGGGTATTGCATTTGTTTGGTAACGTTGCCGTTGTTTGGTAACAGAAGTAAAATAAACAAACAAAGGACCGGATTCCGTTCCATTCCGTTCCTGTCAGTCCTGCGGAACATTCCGGTGTCAATTCCGGAATGCCCAAATTCCGCCGGAATGGTAAGGCACCGGAATGACAAAAATAGCAGGCCTCCCTGCCAAATTTCATTCCTCCGGAATCCACCGGAATCCGCAGGAATGACCGGATTCCTGCAGGAATTAGGGGGGCACTGATAAGACCTCCATGATAGACCACTGATTCTGATCTAAAACATAGACACAATAATTGTGTTCTGGGAAGCTTTATTATATATTCTAAATCTATAAATAATAAAGTACTCACTGCGCACAGGAGAATAGGACTTTGCAACTTTTTTCAAGATTGGGCCCAAAGTTTCATAACAGGGGGACCTGACATTCAGAAGTGATGTGGCATTCTCGATGACAGTGTCTGAAGGAGGTTGTTGCACAATCGTAACATTAATTCGACCATTGGCAAGAGGTGCGATGTCTTGGGGCACATTACCAACAAGATCACCTATATTGAAATTATTTCCAAGAGCACGCCCACGCAACACACCTCCGGTAGAGCGTGAAGACCAGAAAGATTGATATCTGGGCAAGTATAATAAATAGCTGAAACAACCAATTAAACCAAAATATCACCTTTGACCACCTGATCATGGCTTGTAACATCTAGAAAAAATAATAAACACATGGAACAACAATAATAAAATAAGTAATACCTGCAGTAATAGGCTCATGATGACCAGAACCTGACTTGACCTGACGACGGCCTCTTGGTGGGCCAAATCGGACAACCTCCTTCTCCTTCGCAGAAAGTTTGATAGCTAGACAAGTATAATCAATGGCTGAAGTGACACAGTTCAAATTGAAATACTACCTTCAACCACATGATCATGGCTCATAGATTTATCAACATCTAAAAAAAATAAAAAAATCAACAGATGAAACAACAACAATAAAACAATTATTACCTTGAGCCTTGCCAACATCACCATCTTCCCCATTGCTCTCCTCACCAGTTTCAGTAGGACCAGGGGGGAGGAAGGCAGTGGATGAGCGGCCAGCACGCTTGGGAGGTGCAACAGAAGTATTGGCAGCTTCAAGAGCTCGTTCGACACTATCAATATCACATGATAAATAATTAAATAAAAGTAAAGTAAAAAAAGCTCACGGTGTCAGTTTAGCTGGGATGCCCTTTTCATTCTCAGCCTTGTCACTGGCTGCTCGTTGGGCACCTGTCATCCTAAATAGAATAGTCAGCACACAAGTACTGATATGAGGTAGGCCACATACCTTGCTCCTTTTCCCTTCTTACCACCAGCCTTTCTCTTCCTTGTGGTGCTCTTCCCAGCTGCTGGTTCTCCCTCACCACTCTCCTCATTGTCACTCTTAGCTGTGGCCTTAGAGCGCTTGCTACTTGTTGCTTCAGAATTAGACTGGCCACGTTTCCGGCCTTGTTTGGGAGGGGAGGTCACCCCAGCTTGTAGGGAACGAAGTTCTCTGGCACTCATAATGGTAAAGACAAAGGTTAAAAGGTAAAAAAAGCGAAATGCTGTAGCAAGAACAAAGTGGGGGGGAAGAAAGACGTGGGAGGAACTTGCAGTCCCATCCCATACTGTTATACCAGGGCAAAGGGTATCTTATTTCCATATTAAGAAATCTTAATTTAATTAATAAATATAAAGTACAGTGTATGTAGCGCCATGGACAAATGACAACGAATGCATTGTCATTCGTTGTCTAGTTGCCATGTCAGTGACATGGCAATGGGTTAGTGTCCCCTGTCGCATGAATGATAAATGAAAAATGAGATGGCGGGTGGGATTCCCACCATCTCACTGTGTGTATGGTAAAGTAAGTGACATTGCAACGGAAAGGTGGGCCCTGTTGAGGGGGGAATGGGCACTGGGCGTTGTTTGTGGGTGGTGTGGGGTTGTCGTGTGTACTGGGGTGTTTCCGTGGGTGAGGTGGCGTGGCGTGCGGTTTTCGATGGTGCTGGGGTGTTTTCGTGGGTGTGGTGGGCTGTTTTCGTGTCCGCTAGCAGTATAGATGGGCGCTGGGCATTGATTCG